GGGAGAATATCAGATCTGTTTAGGACCAGTCTGTGCAACACTGTAAAAAATCTGACAGTTTTCCATGCAAATAACAGTACCAGCTCTCAGTATTCCATTACAAGTAATTTGTGGTCTGATAATTGTGACAGAACAATTTTATTGTCAGGACGTCAGAAATGATAAATTTTCCACAGAACAGAAAACTTCAGGGTTAATTGTGTTAAATAAATAAGGTTGTCTTACAATACATGAACTACTTTGACATTATAGCTCTCCTTCCTTATGATTTTTAATTTGTCTGTGTAATATCTGCTGTTCAATAGACAAGTATGGTGTGACATGAGGGTGTGTATGTAAGGTCCTTTGCATGTATTATTATATGTACTTGTAGTCTGATTTCATAGTTGGTGTGTCTGTGTTTTTAAAAAGTTGATGTGAGTTGTGTTCATCTTTACCTGTAGTTTGTTCTTGTGGTTGGTGTGTGTGTCTGTGTGTGTGTCTATAAGGTTGATGTGAGTTGTGTATGCTACATTACCTGTAATTTGTCCTCGTGGTTGGTGTGTGTGTCGGAGAGAAGCCTGAATTCCTGGGTCAGACTGAAGCAGTGGTTCAGATGTTCTGGAGACACAAAATCTTCGGCGACCTTGATACAGCTGTGAAGGTTCTTCACCTGATGTGGGGCTCCAGCGGGGATAAAGACGGCGTCCCCCATACACTGTACAATGGTGTAGCCCAGCACCCCATACTCCTTATATAGGCGACTCTGTAGCTCCACGTCAAGGTACCAGCTCTGGTCGTGAATCGGGTCGTGGTGGGGTTCAATCTCCTCTCCCCTCTCTTTACCCACCTATCAAAAGATTACACAAAGGGTAAAAACCAAGTCAATATCCCCCCTCTCTTTACCCACCTATCAAAAGATTACACAGAAATAGGGTGAGAACCACAGAATTTTTTAAATATTAAAAAAATTAACTATGAAAATTGTGTAACATGAAATAAAAAGAAAACACAATAAACATGATAAAACCTCAAGAAATTTTCAGAGTTTTTTTGTATTAACTCAGCAAATCTGCTCTAGTCAGCTAGTGTAAGTTAAAATACAACCCCTTTTAATATATGATCTTTCTCCTCTAGACACCTTGTAATCAGATGAAGACTTAAGCTTTTCTGTAGATCTATATCAGATCAGTAGGCATGATGCCAGATATGTCCAACATGTTATTCAGCTCTGAATAGTTTCCTAGGAATGTTTGGAAAATTGTTGACAGGTAATGTCAAACTGACTTACACTTCTCATATTTCAGACATCACTTAAAAAAAATATTTAAAATCGCTACAATAATATCTCCATCTTTCCTGACCTAGGTAAATGCGATCTCCTCAGAGCGTAGGAGTTTTAATTTATTTATTCAGACATGTTTTTGTTGTTAATAGGGAAATACAATGCTACGTAAAATAATAAAACCACAAATACATTTCCCTTTAATTTGGTTCAGTCGGTACAAACTTGAGAACATCATACTGTGAGGATGTTGATTATTCACTATTGATAATTCACTATGGATTACTCAGTATTTACTGTCTAACATAGAGGGGGGTTATCTGCTGTCACAATATCAATAGATACTGCGTATCAACAGAACGTTCTACATGAAGCAGGATAGGACTGATAAATAAACTCCTCAGGAAGACTTGAGTGACATTTGTACTAGCCCTTTTCATAAAGCTCTCAGAGAGTTGTTTACAATTACAATTTTTCTTCTAGTGACATTCCTGGCACTCAACATTCTTGAATTTCATAATAAGAGCTTCAGAGCTCATAACAAACCTGTGTAAATTGGCTGCCTATCTGAATTATTCAGTGCCATTATTTTATTCAGTGCTGATATGTTGCCCCTCCTGATGACTGGTAACCAGTTTAGCTGGCCACCAGCCAATTTGTCTACATTCCTTTGTCAGTAACATAGTTCAGTGAACCTGCCTTAAGTTACTCAAGGTCACCCCTATCTATTGCTATCATACCGTGTCTATCATCACTCCACTGTATTACATCTCATGACACCGCCTCATTATACTAAACATCTCTACCACTTATCTCCCCACTGGCTTTAGATGACATCACTCATTTTCTTAACATGAATTAAGACAAATTTTTCTTGACAGTTTTAGGTGAATTATAAGCACACACTGTCTGTGATTGATGACACTATACAGAAGGCCTCTAATGTGCATGTATTAAACAACTGTTTCCCGAAAATTGTTTCTCACTGTTTTCTCCTTGTCACAACATCTTGCGTTTTCCTCTTGACTGTAATTATACAACTTCGTGTAATAGAGATTGTCATCAACTCAAAATGTTTTCCTTGGTAACACTAGGTAAATACATTGTAACATGTCTGATAGTAACATAATCAGCCGTTACATAAATCAACAGTCAGCACAGTGAGAAGGGGGAAAGTCATATAACAAATTATGATTTGTACTCTTATGCAAGCTTTATAACTATTGTCTAACTGCATTATGAGTGGAATGCCCTTTTCTATTTATATAATGAGAGATCTGAGTCAGAAATGCACTTTAAGGTAAAACCCTGAATTTGAAAACACAATCTGTGCAGAACAAGGCTTCTTAGAATAACTAAAAGCTTCTTCAATTGTACGTCTTCAACACAACAAAATATAAAACAAAGGTTACCTTATTAAGGAAATCCCTGATTTTGTCTGCGTCCATGGCGTCATAGATGTGCCACAGGGCGCCAGGGACCTCGTTGGTTTCTCTGACACGTTTCTTTGTCATGGTGTCACATCCTGCGTCGTCAATCGCCTTGATGGCCATGTTTATGTGTGGCTGCTTCCCTCCTGGCCCATCACCAGGGATCCCAACATACACCATACAGTTCACAGCGTCAGAGACGTCCAAATGGAGGTTTGTTGTTCCCTCACTTGGGTACTTTGCAGACCCTAGAATCAACAACAAGCATATTCTGTATACACCATTCCAAAAAGTATATGTAGCATTTGTAAACAATTCTTTCAAATGCAATTCATTTCTTATGCTTATTCTGTGGATTTATCAGCATCTACTTACCATATGCATTGTACATCTTAGGCCCCAGGTCTGGTCTTACAAGGAAGTCTGGGAGACGGGACGCCAGGTTGAGTTTGCCGTGACGATGAGTGTACTCAGGCAGGGGAAGAGCCTGCATGAGGTCATCAAAGTGGTTTGGCATGAGATCACTAAAATCGTCCCCTGGGGGCCAGTCTTTTAGTTTCAGAAGCATGGGTTCTTCATCGTCATCGAGAAGGCGGTCTCTGAGACGCTCAAACCCATCCCAGAAGACAGACATGGGGTGACCGATGATGACCACACCCGACATCGTATTGACCACATCATTCTTCTCACGCCCAAATGTCTTGCTGAAGGAGGTCGGGTGCCACAGAGTGCGGTTCAAGAGTTTGTCCACCCCAGACACAATGACAGGCTGACCTCGCTTCCACTGTTCCTGGAAGATCCTGAAGTTTCCTTTATGTTTGGGATCATGAAGTCTCAGCAGACGGCCATCACAGAGCCAGGAGTGGGGTACGTCTGGGTACAGTACACTGGTCTCTGTCAGATTATGGACCAGAATGGGCTGGTCTCGAGTCAACATGCTGCTGTGACCCATACGAGGAATGTAATGCATTAATCGGACCGGCTGGCTGTTCTCATCCCGAGGTAACTGTTTCTCCACCACGGATTGGATGATATCGTCCAGTGTACTACTACTGGACTTGGGTTTCGACTTTTTGTTGTTGTTGTCTGACTTGACCTTCCCTGCCGTTTTTGTTAACAGTTCCCTCAGCGTAGAGCAGCTGGCCGGATTCTTCTTCTCATTGTCCCCATCCCCTGCATTGTTTCCTCCTCCACAGGGGGATACAGGCTCCGTGATCGGGTTGTACGACTTGCCAAACTTGTCAATGTTTTTGCCAAAAGGTGACTCGCTGCGATCACGGCTGGTCTCTGAGTCCATGGAAGCAACATCGGCCAGCAGATTTAGGGGAGATGAGCTGTTGGGATTGTACTTGATGTTGCCGTTGATGGAATCTTTCTTCCCTTTGTAGATCTTGTGGTCCTCAGCGATGCCATTGATTAACTTCTTGGACTTACTGTTTGACAAATGGTTGATGGCTTGCTGAACATACTGCTGAAAAAAAATAAATTGACAGAAAAAATCAATACCTGCAAATTACTTTCCAGTCAAAATGAATAAGCTTAGAAAATCTGTGAGATTGTTATTTTGTAATGATAGGCAATTTAATTTGAACTCCACAACCCTGCAGTTTTATTCTCTATCTTTTTTATATCTGTTTGCATAATTTCCCAATGTTGGATCATATTTGCCTTAGGCTGGCTCAATTAAGACAATCTTAGATGATTTTTTTAAATTTGTTATAACTGTAACACTTATGCAATGTTTTTCCAATTCAGTGACCTTGACTGCTTTCAAATAGATTTTTTTTGACAGTTAAAATACATAGAAGTTCTTGGTAGCAGAAAATTTATTCTGGCAGCTCAGACCTAATGGTGAGACGGATTATCTATCTTATAAAGAGCAGGTGTTTTTAGTTGCCTTGGAAAAGCTAGTCCTATTTTATCACATTATGAAAATCCCCCAAGACCAAGTTAATGAATGTCATTTTAATTCTAAAGACAGCCATCACATTAATCAATAAATGAAAAGCAAAATCCAACTATCTTCATACACAGAATAAATCACTATTATTTTGTCTGATCATGTTGATATAGGAAAGTTTCCTGCTTCCGGAGTTAATCTGGGTCAGTCGTTAAATCATAGCTATCAAATCAATGCATCTCGCAGTCAAATTAACATCAAACTTTAACATGTGAATACTGAGTTTAACTGGGAGAGGGGCATTAAATCATAACTATCAAACAAATGCATTTTACAGTTTAACATCAAACTTTGACATGTGAATACTGTAATGTTACCTGGTTGAGGCCGTTTTTCTGCTGCACCAGTTTAGAGTTGGACTGGCCACACGAACACTTGCACGGAACGTTCCATTTCTTCTTCATGTCATGGATCAGTTTTCCCACTTCCCATAATGCATCTCCCGGAATGATCTGTGTCAGCATCAGCTTGTCGGGCTCGTGCTGCTGACGATTGGCGCTACAAGTGAGCCAGTCGCGCTGCTCCTCCTGCTGTGCTGTGTTATAGGGATCGGATTCCTCCCCTTCGTCACCGCTATCCTGCTGTAGGGCCCGCAGTCTCACTTTATAACAGTCCAAACACACCACAAAGCCACACTTATGACAAACCCAGTGCATGTTGAACAGTGTGGTATCACAAACATCACACATTTCACGAACACCTGTCACCGCTCTCTTCCAGGCAATTTTAGCTGTAAATTAAAGAAAAAACACATCAGGATTTAAATGTCTACAATATCACTGTACAAAGTATCTGATTAAATACTGTAGATCACTTAATTTTCGCGACACCTTATTTTCGCGAGATAGTCATTGACTCATTATTAGCGAGACAAAATTTTCACGAATTGCCGTCATTGCTTCATATAATCTTGAATTGAAATTTTCACGAGCATACCACCTCGGGTAATTACACAAAAATAAAGTTCTCGTGAAGAAAAAGTGATTTACAGTATATCAACTGATTATCAACTTAATCCTGGCATATGAAGTCTGCTTTGACCCCCGTTTTAATTTGACCTACTGACCTTCGTCCCCCGCCAGATTCTTGGCCTCTCTCTCCTGTTGTACCAGCTCACAGAATTTATCTCCGACCCGGGCCACGATGTACTTGGCAGTCTCTATATCTATCCTGGGCTCCATGACGGGAATGTTGGGTAACCAGGGGTCTATGTCTTCATTGATGGCGTCCGAGAGTTCCGAGAATCCATCAATCATCAGGAACCCCCTCTGACTGTACCTCAGTCTGTCAATAAAAACACGTAAATCTGTTAGTAACAAACACACAATAGAAACACATCAATCTGTTATCAACAATAACATATATGTACACAATCGAACAGAGGTGTGCATGAGGGTTATATTCAAAACTTATTTATTTTCTGTCTAGCAAATATGTTAAAAAGACTACATATGATTTTCTTTTCTAATGGGTTTAACAGAATTCTTTTTGAGTGATACGGTTCTTGATTGAGTACTTTAAGCCCCACAACATCTGGAGAATCTCAATTCTCTGTGGGTAACTGGTTTCCCAGAATAAGCCATGTAAACAGACCCTGATGGATGCCCGCTGTTTGCCACGCTAGGAGAACAGCAGTATAAAGTGCACAACCCTCACGACTTTCTTCTGATTGAAGATTAATAATAGATCACTTGATTTACAAACCAATGAAAGGAAAGTAGTCAGGGCATACTTTATGTCTGGTAACAGGAAACCCCTTCTTTCTGTTCAAAACTTTCATTCCCCGCTGTAACAAATTGCTAGTGCTTTTTTTAAATGCTCTAATGATCATGTAGTGGTGGGCCTTTACATGGTGCCTATTAATTAAGTGCATTGCCACCGGGAGAATCTATTACATCAATTTCCAGCAAGATCAGTGGGATTGGATTCTGTATGCACTAGACTCTATAAACACACTCCCTCTTTATCCCCACTGACAACAAAGGCAGCCTCTGTTCTACACAGTGACCTCTGCCATTTTGTTTATCTACAGATCTGACCTTGTTAACCGCTGCCTCACACTGCTGTTTTGGTTTATGAGCCTGTCATTCTTTTTTGTCAAACAAAATGCTATCGTACAAGGAAATTTTTTCTGTATAAGATGATTTTATATCCCTGAATTGTCTATCAATCACCCCCTTCTGTTCATATGCTAACCTTCACCAAGCATGACTCCCTAATCATACTCTACAAACTTTATAACAGTTTTTGGTGGAGTAGAATTTCTCCCAAACTTTGCCTACAATAAACAAGTCTTATCAGGCTCCCCTCTCTGGAGTTCTGGCAGGATACTATAGCCGCCTCAACAGCAGCTATTTTTACAAGTATTCTGGCAGTGGTTTGACTCTCAATGAGAGGCAGATGTTTGGGATTTTAAACAGCTAATCGAGTTCAGAAAACAAAGAGAAACAAAGAGAAGCCTATAAGAGCCTGTGTATGCTGCTTTCTGCCTGTATCTAATGTGTAAAGCAAATGCATTCCCTTTAGACAGGTGATGTGGGGGAATTCTGGAGTCATGTCCTGGCTTTCTCTAAGAAGAAGTTATCTGCCAGCATTAAGTATTTACTCCAGATTGTCAAAAGCCCCTTTGTAATGTTCCTACAGCACAGGGAAGTTATCTGGTAAACATGCCCTCCATAGCGGCAACATTGGGATCACCTTACATGAACACTCTAAGTAGGATCTTTTCCATAATACAGTTCAAGGACAAATCTAACCCACAACACAAAGGATATATATACAAATACTAAATCATAAGACAGAACCTGGATACATCTCCTTTGTTGCCACCTTGCATTAAGAGCTTCAGATTACACATTTTAAAAGGTGATACTGCAGAGTACAGATACTGTTCTATTTTGCTACTGTGAGACTATACTCACAAGGGCTGGACATTTGATACATGACATTGCTGATATTAAGACTGTACTCTAATGTACTCTACAGATTATCTAGATCGCTCTGGATATTGTAGGACTATACTCAGAATGAATATAAATTTGATACTGTGACCCTGTCCCGCTAGTTAGGGACTCAGAAAATCTAAAAGTTTGGCAAGACCTACCTTCTGAAGGCATAAAATCTACAGAAGATGTTGGGGAGTTTCTTGCTGCGCTGGGTAGGCGTCATCTTACATTCCCGACATTTCATCAGTTTAGGGGTGACCTCGCTACAAGAATCGTCCTGTAAGAATGGCTCACACGTCTTCTTCAACAGGGAGACAGGAGGCTTGTTGTAAGAGGCCCCACCTGTACAAACATACAAGGTCAAATGTCAAGAATTCCGGTCTTTATATATGAGTAATATGTCACTATTTTTCTATATTTTCAGCCTATATAAATACATGATTGGGCCAATATAAACAGTAAACAGAGGCTGTCATAAAACACACATGACATCAGGGTTGAGAAGCTAACCTGAGGGTTGTGAATGACTGGTGGGTACCACTGGGGGGTGGACCGGGGTGGGACTCGGCCCCGGGGGTGAGGAAGACTCTGTCTTTGGCAGGTGCTCCTTCTGTTTTTTAGGTTTCTTTATCTTGGACGATGCGGAGTTGTCCGATGGTTTTTCTGCCTTCTCTTTCTTGATGTCCTGCTCTACCTCCATTGGTTCGGGACTGGTAGCTCGCACCTGTGCTGCAATCTGATCGCCTCTCTGACTTTTTCCTTCTTCAGCCTCTCTGACTTTTTCCTTCTTCACTGATGTGTTACTCGCGTTGTCTTTGTTGACCATTTTATCATCCTCTGAGTGATCTTTAACCTATTAATAGAAAATAAATGTAACTCACTGTAATTTTTTCTTGGAATCTGACAAGGTTTTTTGTTTGTTTTTGGCAAGGGAACTGATGATCATGAGTTAGTGATATGACTTTCAAGACCTTTGGCTCGTTATTTACTCTCCTTATACCCTGGGTTAGTTATATGTTTGTGAGTGTGTGTGTGTTTGGATACAATGACCCCAAGTTATGTGTCAGTTCTAACATCAGAATTACTCATAAGCTAGTTTCTCTGTGTTTGTATTATTCCGCAGCAGTAAATAATCCCTGCTGATACACACTGCCAGCCCAACAAAAATGTCATGAATTCAGATAACCATGACTTGTAGGGGATTATATGTATTAACCTGACTGCAGCATATTTATGTAGATTAGACTTGGCTGTAATACAGGTGTGTATTGAGAGTTTGTCAGCAGAGAACAGGGGCTGATAAAGGAGATTAATTCCCAAAGAAACAGTAGGAGATCTTATCCACAGAGCTCAAGGGATTAAGTCCCTATAGAGGTCACAGTATGACACAATATTCTATATCCTCTCACACAAAACTATTCACACATATGTTAGGGGTCAGAGTTTGTACTGACACAATATTATCTCTCTCTCTCACACACACACCCTTACTCAAACACTGCACATAAACATATACCAAGGTTAACTGTAGGTACTGACACAAAATCTTATATCTTCTCACATACACAAAACTACACACAATTAATCAGGGGTCAAAGTACTAGTATTTATTGACAAAGTATTATCTCTCTCTCTCACATACACAAACACCACACATATATACCAGCTAGGAGTCACTGTAGGTACTGAATCTGTTTTGTTCTCTGTCAACGTTAAATAGGTTAAGAATAAAAATAACCCCCACCCCCACCCCCCCCCCCCAACCCCCCCCCCCCCACACAAACAAACAAATCAAATAAATGGCAACGTAGAGAATCACTGTTAAACTCATACAAACCACACATGAAAAAAAAACTTGAAACAACAGAATTATTTTCTGCCTCTGTTATCAGACTGACAGCGTACCTTGACATTTTTGGTTTCCTTTGGTTCCTTTTTCTTGACTGCTTTCTTTTTGATGGCGGGGTTAGGTGGAGGACTGTTATCGTCACTGTCTGCCTTGGATTTCTTGTTACTGGACTGCTTCTTTGTGGTTATTTTTCTCTTCTGTGAGGAATCACTAACCTATAAATAGACAAAACAGTTTAAGCAACAGGCAGCAGAATTCTTATAGCTTAACATTCTGTTTAAATTATTTATTGAGAGCAATCTAATACAAATTTAGCTATCCTTGTGGCTCCCTCACAATGCTTTTGTCAAACATTCAATAATTGCAAGTTTTCACAAGTTTATGTGTTTAATAGACCTTCAAATTTATACATATATTCCAGCTGTTCTACTTTTCCACGCATGTATGATAATATCAACAAATGTATGCTTTGCTATTTCCTCAAGCATAAAGTTCAATCCAAATGAATGTGTATAATATTTATATTCTAATCACTGCCAATAAACAGAAATTTAATACTGTGGGAAAAAAATTGAAATTGGCATATTTTAGCTTCATTTACAGATTATTCCTGAGCTTCGTTGAATATCCAAGAAATACTAGTGACATTATATTGACCTATTGTGAAATTATATTGACCTGTTGTGACATTATATTGACCTGTTGTGACATTATATTGACCTGTTGAGATATTATATTTACCTGTTGTGACTCTGTCTCGGAGGCCGACGTTGTGGACTCGTCGTCTTTATCTTTCCCGATGATATTCCCATTCGGAAGCTTATAAGCACTACTGGACACTGGAGATTTGGTTCCTGGCTCTTTCTTGGGAGAAATGTTTGTCAGATTAACGTAACAGTTCTTGAGCTTGTCCTCTGCCTTTGGTGAAACATCCGTGTCGTTTTCTGTTGAGGGTGATCCTGGCTCTACCTTTGTCTCCAACTTATCTTCATCGGAGTGTCTCTGAAGCCAGGCTTTTTTGAGTTTGGGGTGGTTGGCTGCTTTACCTTGAGAGGAGGGGTTAGTGATATGTGGTGGGGGGCTGGGAGCACTGAGTGTGTCACTGTCCGTATCATTTATCTGACCGTTGGCTACTCGACTTATTGTATCCATCAGAGTAGAATGACTATTGGAGCTTGCCAGACTGGACTCTTCTGCTGGCAGACTAGGGGTAGGGTCTGCCTTCTTTTGTGTGGGGGGAGGGGGAGGAACAGAAACCTTTTTGCCGTCAGCCAAGTCCGAGTCCTGATAAAATGCATTCTGAACTGCATTCTCTACAAACGACTTGAAGCTGTCCATGAACCCTGAGGTGCCCTGTGGTGGATTGGATGATGCTGAGGAGAGAAGCATGGACATGGCAGAGGAGGTGGTAGCTGATGTTGAGGTGACAGACGACTGACTGTTTGTAGTGGTATATGGGGAGGGGTTAGTCAATATCTGGGGGGTAGTGACCGGCACACCACCACCCCCAACTCCAGGATTATTGCCCCCGTTGTCAGCTTTCTGTCGTTTACGATTGCTGCTTTCCTTGTTTGGTCGGCGCTTCACCCCCTGCTGGCCTGTAGTGGAGTGTGTGTTGTGGGAGGAGGTAGGGGCCATACTCTGGGTGGTGGTCAACATACCGTGACTATTCCCATGATGCTCTGCGGCCGGGTTCACACTGTTCTGAGAGTAGATGGGATTTGGAACGAGGCCCTGTTGAATGAGACTACAGCTATAATCCACAGAGCCTGGGGGTAAGGACACTGGGGGCTGGGCTATTGCTGCAGACATGTAAGGAACATTACTGTTATTGGAGGAGACAGGGGATTTTGAGGAGGGGCTCGTCCTTGGTTTACCCTCATTCCTATGATAATTGACTGGCTGCTGCATCACTGCTGCGTTTAACTGATGGGGGCTGGCCACACGGAGTGGACTCTGAGTTCTTGGTCCGATATGTTTTGATTCTGTAGATCTGAATGCTGATAAAGCAGAGACCTGGAGCCCTGAAGATGACATGGAGGATGACGAGAGATCGATGGACTGGTCCTGGTGTGGACTCCCGTGATGACGATTAGGGGTGTGAGCAGGCTTTGGTTGCCGGGGTGACTGGGAGGAGATGTGGTGACTGTGATGTGAGTGGGCCGGTCTCGGACTAGTGGAATTAGAACCCTCCTTATAACGGTTATCATATATCACTGAACTGTGCCCGTCCTTAATGAGAGGTGGTGGGGCAGACGACATCTGACTAGCCATGTTTGCTGCGTGGGCTAGACTTTGTTTAGAAGAGTCCATGTTTAGTTTCTCCTCTTTTTTGTCCAGACCGTGAAGATGGAGCTGATCTGGAGAGATGTAGGAAAGCTGGAAAGGTTGATAACCGTACAGACTGAAGTTTGGTTTCTCCTGTTTTACGGGGTTAGAGGAACTACTGCTCTGAGGGTAGCCTTTATAGGCCTCACTTTTGGGGAGCTTCTCTGACTTGATTTCAGACTTCTGAAGCTGTTCGTAAGCTTTCTGGTGTTCATAGTTCTGCTTGTAGAATTTCTCCATTTCCTGCTGTCTCATCATCTTCAGCATCTGCTCTCTCTCCTACAAAGGGAAAAGAGTTCAATTTCATTATTTTCTGCTGGAAGCATATCTGGGTCAAAGATCTAAATTCATATAACTAAGGGCCATTACAGAGAATATTGGAAACTGAGAAATCTGAAAGCACATTTATTACACAATCAATACATAATGGCCCTGTTCCTCTGAATCTGACATAAGAATCAATATCTAGTTAATGAATGCTTCTCCCTAAGAACAAAATGATAAGCAAGCTGAGGCATTGTCTTGTGAAATCGTTAGAGGCTATATCACACCATCAAACCAAACCAACCCTGCACAGCACGCACAGTAAGCACACAAAAGCCCTCACCCTGCACATCTCCCTTCACATCAACTGCTCAGTGCACATTTCTTCCCATCCAACCAGTCCCTCCCAACCAGTCCCTCCCAGCAATCATCTAACACCCTCGCTTTACCCTATCCCCTGATTTCTCCTTCACTCCTCTATCCCCCGATTTCTCCTTCCCTCTGTTACTATGTGCATCATCCATCTCTAGGAAGCAGTGCTGTATTAGAGCAATAGAACTAACCTGTTTGTCGTCTTTATTACTGTCCTCACATTTGGTCAGTGGTCCCGATTTACCGGTCCCTAATGTTATAGAAGGGACCGACCATGCTCCGCCCTATTTAATGAAGTGACCAATGTCATCCCAGTTCTGTGTACATTTATCCCCACTCTAATATTGATAAGGCTCCAAACATGAACCCCTGCCTTCTATTCACATACTAAACAACATATACCAGACCAATTTATTTATCCATCTTCTAACAATTTACATCTGTTTGCAAGTTAAAACTCTAGGAATTTCAGCAATTTTGGGAGATAAAACACAAGAGAATTGAGGTCCTGCCCACTAGGAAATTGTTCACAACAGAGACGTACCTCTTTGTTCCGTAGAGATCTCGCGAAGTGATCGTCGACAGCGGCCAGGGTGTCAGCTGACTCCTTTAGGATCCTTTCACGTTCCTTCTTCTGCTCCCGTTCGTGCTCCATTCTCTTCCATTCCTCCCGTTCTTTTCGTTCCCGATCTAGACGCTCCTTCTCCAATCTCTCTTTCTCAGCCCGTTCCCTCATGGCCTGCTCTCGTTCTCGCTCCAATTTGTCTCTCTCTCTTTCCACTCGTTCCCTGGAAAATAATTGTAGGAATGTACTTTAACTCTCCACTCATGAAAGAAACAAAGGAAAAAGTTCTGAAAGAACTTTATTCGGTAATAACCAATATTTGCCCCCCAAATCAAACTTTGATGGAGATATATTTAATTAAGTTCTTAAACAGAGGAGTATATGCTGTCTTCAAAGCACTGAATATTTTCATAAGTAATGACGCCATATGTACGTAATGACGTCACAAACATGACGTAAATTTCAGTTTTTTATGAATTTTACAAAAAAATGTACATATTTCGACGATATTTTGAGTAAAAGTCACCGAGCGCATGTGTGTTCAGGATCAATATTTTGATATAAAGTGTAGAATGATAACATCAATGAAATATGTCAATATTGTTCCTGAACAAACTTGCGCTCTATAAATTTTAAAGCTAAAATTGTTGAAATTTTGTCCATTTTGTCCTCTTTCTGAAAAAGGATATAAAATAGGACTAGTTTGTGACGTCATAAAAACAAAAATTGTGAATACACTGCTTTAACACTATAATATTTTCTGTTAATTTATATTTAATACAATTTATTGAATTCAGCACATTTCAGGAAGTTTTCAAAATTTGACTTTTGTGGGGGCAAATATATGCAATATACCGCATATAGTTCTTTAAAATGCCTTAACATTTTTACAGCGTAAAATCTGCAGTTCTGTTCACATTTCTTTCATAAATAATTGTACTACTTTAAGTATTAATTGTGTCTTCATAATAAACCTAAATAATTTATACTGAATGACACAGAATTATTCTAGACATCAATGAGTTTAGCAAGTATTTCTTATTAGTGTTCAGTGGTAAACTAAGCAATTGAAAATTACTAGAGGGGACTTTTTACTGAAGGATAAAAAAACCCTCCACTTCAAGTCAGACATTGTAGTGCCTGGTCCTTCAAGAGACACTAATAAAGTGGGGCTGGTACATGTCTTATAAAACACCCATAAATTGTGGTAAACAAGTCATCTGAGAGCTTATCGTGTTGTGTATATAAGTGTAAAAGGCATGCATTAGACAAGGAAACAAAAAAAAATTAATTACAGCATGACAACACAATTATGTCTGCTGTCCACAACTAATTACAGAGCAATGCACTGCTAGAGTTGAGTGAGATAATTATACTATGACAAACACACTCCATGTACAAGACCATCATTTAATACTATAAATTCAAGTGACTTATGCATTGGAATGGGTGTATCATGTAATTGTATTCTTATATTTAAGCTACATTACAATATTGTATTACAAAGGTCACTCAATAAAACTAGATTTCTTACTGATGTATGCCCAGATAATCACCTTCCTATTTAAGAATATGGTTAACCATTTAAAATTTTTTTTTTTTTGGTAAAGATTTATGTTCTTAGAGTAAATTGTTAAAATATCTCTTAGAATAAAGTTTTGAGATAATCCCTACTTGTGGTTAGGAGTCTAAGCTATCGGCTTTTGAGACAGCCCCCGTTAACACATGATTAATAGATAGGTAGGCTATCAAAGTTCAACAGCTCTGATCAAACACAAGTACAAAGCCATTATACAAAAATATCAATAGTTTGTTCCAAACCCAATCTGCTTAGTCAATAAGCGATTTCGAAAGACCTTAATTTAAAAGTCTTCGCTGTAAGGCACACATTTTTTTTTTACCTTTTGCCAAATAAGGAGATGTCAAATTGGTGTGTAGTGTTGTGTGGAAGCCTAGGGCTTAAACATTACAATGGACAGTCACGCTTCAGTTGCCAGCGCTGTATACATAGTCAACCTTTAGGTGCCCTATGCCTGACTATTTAAGCGCAATACACCATAAATGTCATTCTGGGGGTTTTATTCTCCTATCTGCTTTGAATCTCAAGTAGCCCTAAATTATATTTCCTGAACACATGTAAAATTCATAAACCACCTACATCACATGCTTGTGTTAAAGGTGCCCTTCTAGAAGGAATGTATGCTGAGATACTGACAAATGAAGTTCTTCTTCCAAACCCAGAACAAAATCCAAATAGGAAATACTTGTCAACTTAAAAATCATTGATTACTTGATCTATCCACTATCAGATTTTTGCCTGTGAACATGACAATGAAGAATTTGCCCTCTAACAACTAAGTATGCTATTGCTTTCTTATTCAGATTTATATCAAGGCTACATGTATTTCTGTTCATATATATGCCAGTGCACTGTGACTTAAAGAACAGAAGCTTTTTTTCAACTACAAAAACAAGAAAATCTTAATAAAAAAATCTACTGCAATGTAAATATCTTCAATAATTAACCTCTTTATGCATTGTTTTTCTTCCCAAAGGGTCTTTATTCCAACACAGATGAAATCAAAGAAAAGGTAATTGGTTCTTTTTTTCTTGTTTGTATCTTACAGAAAAATTCCAAGGCCAAAAACATTTTACATTTTGGCTGAATTTTACGGTTTTTTACAGAGTTAAAACAATACAAAAATTCAATACAATTTAATCAAGTCTCTAGTTTCCCTCCCACCTATCCTTTAAATATTTTACAATGTTTTTAATTTATCGTATATTAACCAGTTTTGTGACAAACATACCAATCCTATATTGTATTTAACTTACCTCTCTATTCTCTCCTGCCTCTCTCTCTCCAGCTGCCTGTCCCGTTCCAACCTTTCCTTCTCTATCCGATCCATTCTTTCTCTCTCCAGCCTCTCCCTCTCTATTAACTCCCTCTCCTTGGAGAACAGGTGCCCCAGTAGATCCTCGCGGTTCTTGGGCAGTAAGTACTGAGGGGGGATGGGAATGGAGGGGTAGGTCTTCTGCCACAGGTGCTCCAGCTGGGGCATGGTGAGATTAGAGGGGTAGCCCCCACGGGAGAGCAGCAGCTGGTACTGCATGGAGGCTAGCTGTTGGTGCTGGAGCGCTGCTAACTGTGATGGGTCCATCTGAGCCAGAGAAGGATGGATGCCCAGAGTGGCGGCTGCCCCCAGAGCAGCGGTCAGGTGATGGGGAGGGTACTGGAGGGAGGGGATCACATGGTTAGGGGGGATGGGGTGAGAGGGGTAGGAGGTGGTTGAGGGGATAGACTGGGTGGGGGTGGCCGCTGAGGGGATGGGGGTGTGAACACTTGAGTAAGGTGGCTTCTTGTGGCTCCCGAGCATGCCGTGAATGTTACTGTGAACTGGATTTTTTCTCATTAGTTCAGGGTCCCTATAGGGATGTACAGGTTCTGTTTTGTCAATGATTAATGGACTAGAAGATGGACTGTTTTTCTGAGATGTTTTGAGATCATCAAGTCGAGATGCTGGTCTCCTGTCGTCATTTAATCCTGAGTTAGAATGTTCACTTGCTCGCGAGCTTGATCGGACACTAGATCGGAGTTCATCGTTATTTAAACTGTTTGATAGAGAATTACATCCAGACACATGATCACTGATATTGTTGTTCCTCAGCTCCTTCTCCTGAGTATACACATCAGCAGTGGACACAGATGACAGAAAACTTCCGCAGGATTTTGGCGAGACAGATTTATTGGATGAAATGAATTTCTCCTCTTCCAAGTGAGATCCGGCACTTTCAGCACGGGAGAGTTTTGCGATTTGATCCGTCACCGAGCGGTTGACATCGATATTGGCGTTAATTGAGGCCGGAGATTTTTCAGAAGAGGTGTTGCTTGCTAACAACCTCTGTTTCATAAAGTGCATATTATCTTCTGTATTGGGTTGGTCAGACTGGGGTTGGTCAGACTGAGTGGGGGGGCATTCCCCCGCGGACTGATTACCACAGATAGAGCTCCCTACACTGTCCCCAGAGTCTGGAGAGCTCTGGGACCCCTCATGTCGCGGCGAATCACACACAGACAAGTCCTTCTTATGTCGACTTGGCCGAGGTTTGGAACATTGTTTTGTAGGACTGTCTGACGTTGAAGATTTTCGCGATCGTTTTGGATGAGCCTTGTCTTTTGAGATCTTACTCTCAGTGTCCTTTTTCACTGTCTTCTGTTCGGATTTTGATTTGGATGACTCGGTTGCTGCCTTTGGTTGCTCCTCCTTATTATCCTCAGGTTTCACTCGCTTCTCGACAGAACGAGATCTCCTCTCCAAAGTACCGTCTGCAGAATCACTAGAATTCTCAGAGAAATCCACAGGTTTTCTTTTTCGGTCTTTTGCTGGTACTGGCTTTCCAGTTTTTGGTTTTTCTGAAACAACAAAATTAACTAATTAAATGAATATGACAAGTTACTAGGAACAAGATTATATTGTCGAGATCCTGCCAGTACAGAACAGCCATGCATTAATTTACCTGGGAAATCCTTGCAGGCATACTTCTTTTACATATCTTATCACACAATAGCTAGAAAGTCAATCCTCATAAATAATAACGGCCCAGACATTAGTATGATGGACTTGTCATTTAAATTAAAACCAGCTCCTTATTTGTATTCAGTGCTAGGTCTTTGTAGACCCATTGGGAGAATCTTAATCAATAGCATTTAGTTATTTAAATCCCACCCGGGATTCATGCCAAGCTATTTAAATGGTTTTTTTTTTTTTTTTTAGAAAAAAAATGTCAATATTAAATGGTAGACATCCTGTGCGTTATAAGTCCTTGAGTTCGCCTCACTGCTAACAAAGTGACTGGCCTTTAATTTCTGTCATTTTGAAAAGACTCATTCACTGATCACAAACATTATATCTGTTGATCCCTACAAACATACAAATATCACAATGGACTTTTCCAAATCTTACACATACTCACTGTTTGTCTACCATACTTAATTCTAGAGAGAGAAAAAAAATTGGTTTTTCATTTCTGCCTTGGCAGAAATGAATATTTATATCGGATTAACAATTCACACAATGTGAGCTCTTCAGCTTATTAAATTGAAACGGCACACTCAATAAAACTCCGTCCAATATTACTCTGACCCCGGACTTTAACCCTGAGTAAGTACAAACAAGTTATTAATGGAGACTGGTTAATCATTGATATCCTGACAATACCAACAGATCATGTGATCAGGCAGCTTTACATAATACACACACAGGTCAATATTGTCTCTTTATCGACTCTATCAGATCCAAGCTTGCAGGTACTTGTTTTGTTATTCCAGGCCCAAATCACGAGCTTCCTTGGGTAAATCTACAACTCACAATCCAAGTCTAGTGTTCCACTATAGATTTTAAGCAAGCTCGATTTTCACTTTTTTTCTTCAGAATTTCCAATCCAACTGAGCACCTGATATACTGAGTGATTATCTACTAAACCATCAATGCCTGAACATAAAACTCCCATCACACTTTAATCCCGAGGGAGTAATATCCCAAAATAGAACATATGATCCTCAAAGGAGTCATTATTTTCAGTGAAATACAATTTCTGGTATTTGCTATACACAATGTGGATTATAGAGGGAGAGAGTCTGTATTTCTCTGTTTATACTTAAAATCACTAATTAATCTTTTAACTTTTATTATCGAACTAACTACCTAGCTCACTCAGTTTTGGTTAAATTTTAAAATCATGGTTCTGAACCTCTCTGTAACTACATGTACACTGCATGCCGACTGATTCATCATAAGATAAATTAATATTTAAACCAAAACAAGGATCCGATTTTTTTTAAAACAATTTGTGACATTCTTTTGTAATATAAATGCCCCCCCCCCAGTTGTTAATTAATAACTTCTCCCAGGGAGGAAGTGTTCAGAATCTGTGAGTGATAACTACTGTATGCGGTCTGGTTGTGTTGTCCTCTGATCAGCCATCTTGTCTCACTACAACCCTCTTCACCGAGCAAATCTACCATCAACTTGTCACCATAGACACTGATATGAATCAGACATGTAGGCTTGTATGTGGAGATGTATAAACACACCTGCCTGTTCAGTTATCAAGAATGTACAGGAGGGATATTCAGAGGTCAGATTTAATAACCCCCCCACCTCCTCCGTAAAAACCCCCACAAATTAAAGAGGATAAAAAAAGCAACAACAGAATAAAATACATGAATGAAAACAAATGTTCTCCTAATTAAATTAACACATTGAATAAAATCAATAAAGAGCTCACCTTTGTCGGAATCGTGATCCGCGGATTTCGTCTCTTTCTGTTTCACTTTATTATTCCGTACAGCTGAAGTTTTTTCAGAGTTGGATGGAGGTTGTTTTGATGTCGGATTTCTGGTCTACAATAGAAAAGAAACGTTCCTGATCATACGAGAAGTAAAACACTGACGTGAACGACGCACCAGTCATACACAGTCCACAGGACAGAAATAGACAAAAGAACAAGGCCAGGCATAATCTATCATCCGGTAAAACCACACTGTATAAAGATTAATCTCAGCTGGCAAGAGATCAATTACTGTGTACAGCCAAGAGTGAACAAACACGGCATTACACACCTCCAGTCACAGAAGTGTGTATCATTGAGAGCACAAGGTCATACAAATGTCAAACCTTTAACTGGACATTCTCGCTAAGTAGTCCTGTGTTCTGGGTATAATCCCTCCAGAAAACAAGCGGCTATATTTTATAATATGTATCCAGTACACAACATAGGCCTGATGATGTACACACAACATCTGCTGCTGAAGGAATGGGGCTATAGTGATAATGAGCTGTACACAGCAGTGTTACACAATCAGAATCAGAACTTCCACCAATTACAGCTTCTGACTACAGCTATCTAACACAGCACTGTTCAACAAGTCAATTATTCCACTCCAGATCAATAGTCACACTGTCAGACAAAGGCAGGCATTCCTCTCTCTCTGCCCAGGTAACAAGCAAAGGCTGGCCTATTTTTAATGGTTGACTGCTCAAACAATGAGATAAGCTCAAACAACTTTTGAATTCTAACAGTTTGAAATTTAATCTGCTGTATTCATCGCCCCTATAAAGACTCTTTATCATGCAAATGTAAACGGCCTGGAGCAATTCTGCAAACCCAATGTTTGATAAGACAGATAAGGGACCTTCTCAAAACACAGATTACAGACTTAAGGGACTCTCACAGCATAGGAATTTAGGAGACTAATAAAGATAGTTATTGATAAAAATAAAAAATCAATACACCAATGAAAGAAGACAAAATAACAATTAAAGAGAATAAATAAATCATTATGTAATAGACATTATTTTTTTCCGTATTTTAAAAAAAAAACAAACATTTCCTTGTAGCTGTCAACAGAGCAGACTGTTTTAATAAATTCATGCTTGACATCAGCCATGTAAAACTACAGTCATGTTAAAAGGTAGTGTCGATCCAAACCAAATAAAAAACACATTAACACAACCCCCCTAACAACACACAAATTACATACTACAAGTTTTATATCAGCGACAATACTTGTCATAATTGGCCATTTGGTCATGTTATACAAAAAATTCCCTACAGGCAGAAGACATGGGACAATGAAGCGTGACCCTAATAACACGGCTATCGCTGTCACAAAATACCGGGCCAGCCCTGCGTGTTAAATCTGGTTACACGGCCAGCGATAACCCCGTGACATGTCACTGGAATACCTGCCTGGCTTCCACAAACAAATACAGGACTCTAATCTACCGAAAGAGCAGAGAGGAAATAAACAAAGATAGAAAGACAAGGGGAGATTATTTACACTTACAAGAACACAGAAAACTCTTGCATTATAAAAACATATTGATCAATTGGGAATTTAAAGGGAGAAATTTTGTTTCAAAATATTTCCAGGCTATGGTAAACAAGAATGATTTAGGAGCATAAATGACTCTTGGGAACAAAAGACCCTCTAGCAAGTAACAGTTGTACATTATTTGTGCTGACTATTGCCTAGAGTTAGACATTAATTACACTTTATTATAATTCACTTACCTCATGAAGTCAAATACCGACATAAGAACTCAAAATTTTCATGATAAAAAAACAGGTCCAAGGATTTAATTTTCAACAGAGCAAAACTTTAACGCTCTTAATACCACAAATAAAAGCCATGCTGTATTATTACACGGCTAGAAACCGGTCCACGGTTCCCATTAAATCAATGTGTCACTGCGAGTCTTTTGTTGTCATTCACACACAAAAAACAGCCAGCGCTAAATGAATATTACATGCAGCATTTAAATCCGTCGCATTAGAATTCTTAATTTAACATTCTGTATATGACCCAGGCATAATTGATAGTCTGTGTCTGTCTGTATTTTATTCTCTTTGTATATTTCACTCTCCTATTATTTAAAATACAGCTACTGTTCAATTCTAAACCATTTACCTAAATGTAAACAAAAATATGGTTAAATTTTAATCACTGAGTTTGTGGTATCAGATGAACAAATTTTCCGCATATTAACTATGAGGGCACACACCACAGTATGACTCATCTCCTTTTTATATGCACCGAGGGAGCACATCAGAATTTTTTTTTTACCTTGTCGCATTGTAACAGTTAGAGAGAGGTTTAAAATTTTTAAAACATCTTTACAATACCGTTCTATTTATGACCTCTTGGTGGAGTGTCTAAATATAGATGAGGGCAGATGTATCATTTCACAACTTTATCATGCATTTCTAGTACACTAAATCTTTTTTGTGAGGATTTAAAATTTTTAAAATACAGACTGTGACATGGCCGTTTCCTCCACTGGTGTGTTTGTTATTTTTTATTACAAGCTTTGGGAGATGATTAATTATTTTTACATGCCTCTGGGGACCTCACTATAAGTCAGCATGACAAATCAGCCACACATTCAAATCTGGCCAGCTTTTGTGAAACCATCCCTGTAGAAGTCCTCTAAGTAGGTTAATGGTTTACACAGCCTGACCTTGGAGGGGGCCCCCAGGGGGTAACCCCAGGAAATTCCTCAAAAAATCTGTCAGATGGAAAGCTAACTTACTGTAAATCAACACACCCTCATAAATTGATCTATTTATATGTTTATAAATATTTATATTTCTCTTTAGAAATAGAGGGGGGGTCAATTTTTTAAGATTTATTCAATGACCTGTGTTAAAGTGTAACAAAAAATCATCAAAAACAACTTGAGATTACATCATTAATCACTTCCTGGGACAGACATAAATCCTTTGATGATGATTGACCTCTTTCAACATGTTAACAAACTTCCCCTTGGGAGCCTCAGTGCTTATAACACAGATGGATTTGTTGGGATTGTACACAAGTGTGGGGTGATAAAGGATGCAGTTAATTATCTAATTTCCAAACATCTAATTAAGGGAATCCCACTGCAGCTGTTATTATTCTATCTCTTCCATCAGCCAGGGCACATGTTGGTATTCATCCTTTGACACCGCTAGTTTTACCAGTTCTTTCATTGTTCCTTATAAACTAAGAGGACGGCCATATTCTATACAGGAGAGATAAATAACTTGCCGTGCCTTACATTCTAACAAAAAATAAAAATAACTTACTGTATTGCTTTGCTGTTCCTTGTTTGTTTGTCTGGTCCTTCTAGGACCAATTCCAACTTCTACGCCTCGCAAAATTGAATCTACCACTGAAATAAACAGAATCCAATGTTAGAATCAAAGTCATAAAAACAGCTTAGTGAATGCTGGCAGACAGAGAAAACGGTCTCGACCTGCACTGACAAGGGAAGTATGCTATCAAAGGCGCACTAGAGAACTAGCTCTGGCTGTAATCAATATGACTCATACAAACAAGCTTTCAAAACCGGATGAAAATAGCTGAGTGGTGTGCGGTAACCCCATTCATTAAACAATGCGATTTGATTATCAGAGCCGTAGATTCCATTTAACAGGACTTTAGAGCTGTCAGGGGGAGTGTGCGACAATTCACATTGATCTCTCTCTCTTTTGTCCCTGCTTAAAAGTCTCGCTACAACGGTCACTGTGTATAATTGTCTGAGTTCAGGATTTTTAAATTCTTCCACAATTGTACAAAATCAGACAAACACTAAACCGGGTCACCACTCACACTGCTCTCACTGTAACAGGAGGCCAACACAGGAAAATAAAACCTCAAAAAGGAATATGCCAACATATAAATACGTACACTGTAAAATCTATAGACCTGTTGAATCAATAGCAGAAAACACCAGAGAATAATCAGTGAAATGATAGTCTGCTTCACACGTTGTTATCTGCTGCTAACTGTGATTGCACATGCTCAGTATATCCCGCCCCTCAGTACAGCTATGGCTGTTTGCTATGGACAGATGATAATTTGATGGCTGCCTGGAGGCTCAACAAAAGGTGAAGGTCACTCCACCACACAAAGAAAAACAAGATGGCTACCTCAGGCCTTATTTTCCAGAACAGTGCCTGGATTTAAACTAATGACCTCTGCAGGAGAAGTGACTTTATACCAATTACTTATTTCTTTTTCAAAGAATCTTCATTAAAAAGAAAGGCTGATGAACAAAAACATTTCAGTTGAAGGTGTGGTCCTGACACAATTCAACACAATTTTTCTGCAATAAATTGTGCTGTCAAAATCCCATTTTCTTAAAAGCTATTTAGAAACACCAAGTCGTAATTCATGCAAGAGAGATTTATTGATTTAGTCTAGATGTGTAGTGATTGATGAGAAATGAATGATAGAAACTGTTGATATTAGGACAAATCAAAGCAACATGGAAGACCCACAAAATGCTAGGAATGAGAACCTAACCTGAGTATACACTAGAGTGTACAGTCTTGTCTAATCTTGTGGCTTTCTACTCCACAGGGATTAAGGGTTCCCCTTGTTTGTTTATCTTTTATTAAATGTCCCGATTCTTATTGATTTTTTCTTGGTGTCATTCTTGGCTCCATTATAAACCTGCTTTTCAAGTTCTGTGAAACTTGTAGTGTAGATACACAGACATTTGGCCACTGATCATGATCCAATATGGCTTTGTTAAATGGAATCAATATCGCACACTGTGCCTGATGAATTTTCGTCCGCTGGATTTCTCCAAGGCTTTGAGACAAGATCGTTTTTCGATATAGCAGTCACTTGAGATCATAGGCAATGTAATTAAATTGGGTTATATTCCACAGCAAATAAAAGAAATGGTGTCCTTTGTTGAACTTGAACAAAGTGTATAGAGATGTTTTGTCTACCAAAGGCAGGGTATTAATGTGGCAGAACAACAGACTGACTGACAGGGTACAAAGGCCCCATCTAACAGAACAATGTTATTGAGTTTGTACAGCCTCCACTGAGATAGATAGCTATACAATGCATCACATTTCTTTAAGAAATGTAAAGCAATAAGCACAGCAGTGTTCATGGCCCTGATAGAGGAGGTCTCCATTATATTTCTCATTCTCAGAATAAATTTGGGGGCCCATAAAAATACAGAATGAGACTTCAGACAAGTATTTGAGGATGTAAATGGCTAGGGAGATCAGGGAAGAGATTAAAGGTCAAATACACAAACAATCAGGAGATAACATCACTGGCAATCCTCTCAACACTGTTAACACTGACTCGGAGTGGCCAGAGTGGAGATTCTGACCACAGGTCAATGTGGACATTACAAAGTGGCCACCAAGCCTACAGATCATGGTGCACACATTTAAGACAGATCCTAGCATTAAGTTTTAATCACAGTTTATTAAAATAGGTCAGATACAATAACCAGAGAAAAGAAAGATCCTAGCATTTATTTTTAATCACGTTATTAAATAGGTCACAGATACAATAACCAAAGACCTATGGGTCTTAATGGTCAGCCAGTAGCAAGGGGAAAATAATAAATCAGTATGTCTAATTACTCTAGGCTCATGAATAAAGATTCAGTAATGTATTTCAATGCATGACCAACTCGGCCCCATCAAGAGGTTATTTTTACTTTTTTTGATGAAGTATTCATTGTAAACACTTGAGAGCTGCTAAACATCTCATTATCATCTGGCTCATTATAACTAAAAAAAAATTCTATCAGGTGTAAAACATTTTTGAACACAATCTAAAAAACTAACAATCTAATGTACTTTATAATTTCTATGGCAATCATCAGAATTGAAAATGCCAGTTATAAAAATGAACTGATCCAATTGTGAACCTGATGACTATCACTTGATGACATGAAGAACTTTACAAATAATATGAATATTCTACATCTGAGGAGAAAAACAAAGGTGTGGAAGGGGGAGGGGGTGGGGGTGATGTAGAACTAGTCCTCAGAATGATAGAATCTGGAAGACAACAAATCAAAAATCTAAATAAAAGGGATAAAATGTATATTTTATCCACTAAACAAGTTAAGATCTTGAACAGAGAAAGATAAAATCCTTATCTGTACTAAGAACTTTCAACACTGGAAGCAATTTGTCAGTGTTTATTCTTGTTCTTATGCAATAGAAAACTTGTTAACGTCCTCTTGTTTGTTTAACACCTATCCTAGATTTACTTGTCACAGGTATTAACTCTGTACTCACCTGATCTCTGGAAGTAATCTAAAATGTTTCACAATGCAAACAATACATGAAGGAGAGATTAAAGGAAAATAAGACAGGGAATGTGATAACAATGAGCAGACAAAATATAACAACAGAAGCTAGGTATCATATATCTCCCGCTGTTGTCATCTGTACCTGTGACAGACCACCACAGTATTGGTCCTTGGGTCTTTTGTACTTTTTGGGTTTTAGCAGATTATTCTTCATGTGGCCTTGGTCCCCTGTTATTCTGTAAAATATTGTTGGGGAGGAAGTTGTTGGTCCTCTGGTTTTCAGCAGTGTTTTTTCCTGGTTGGTCCTGTATATATGGTTTTCAGAGGAGTGTTTTTCTGTGGTCTTTTGGTCCTCTGGTTTTCTGCAGCTTTTTTCTGTGGTCTTTCTTTCTCCGGTTTTCTGCACAGTTTTTTTCTGTGGTCTTTGGTCCTCTGGTTTTTCAGCAGAGTGTTTTTCAGTGATCTTTTGCCCCCTGGTTTTCAGCAGAGTGTTTTTCTGTGGTCTTTGGTTCTCTGGTTTTCTGCAGAGTGTTTTTATCCTGGGACTTTGACCCTCTGGTTTTCAGAAGAGTGTTTTTCTGTAGTCTTTGGTCCTCTGGTGTTCAGCAGTGTTTTTTTTTCCTGTTGGCTTTGGTTCTCCGGCCAGACAGTGTTTTTATCTTGGGACATTGGCCCTCTAGTTTTCTGCAGAGTGTTTTTTTCTGTGGTCTTCGATCCTCTGGTTTTCACCTGAGTGTTTTTTCTGTAGTCTTTGGTACTTCAGTTTTCTGCAGTGTTTTTATTCCTGAGGTCTTTGCTCCTCCGGTTTTCAGTAGAGCATTTTTTGGAGGCCTTGGTTTCCTAGTTCAAACAAATTACTGTTTCTCCGGTCTTTGGTCCTTTGGGTTTCAGTACAACATTGTTTCTTGGGTCTCTGGTTTCTTAATTTTACAATTTTGATTTTGTGTGCTTAATTGAACAAATAGAGAGAATGTATTTAAGAGGATACTGTTAAGAGATAAAACGTGAATTTCTTTACATTATTGACATACAAAGACTTTTCTGCCCTTCTGAATCTATCCCAATACAGAAAAAAAACTGATCTTGCAGGACTTGTCTGACAAGGAATATATGCCCTTCTAAATCTACCCCAATACAGAAAAACTCTGATCCTGCTGGACACAAAAACATAGATCCCCAATAAAAACAGACAGGTGTTCAGAAAATAATCTATGTTTGGCTGGTACATGTTTCTTTGTTCTCCTGAGCTCTGGCAAGCTGTCTGAGTACTGTTAGTGCAAATCACTCTCACTGGCAGATTCTGGAAAGATGCCACTGCAAACAGCCAGGAATGTTGTTATGCTTTCTCTCTTACAAGTGAGAATGTGCATGCTAATCCCTGGCAGTCAAATGCAGACACAATCTTAGTATCATCTTATCAGTTTCTATCCAAATCCATCTTCTATATCCAGTACCCCAAGTTTTCTGTAAACTTTAATAACACCCACACACAGATAGTGACAGTTGAACAATGCTGATTATGTAATGCCAGGATTTTCTCTTGTCAATAACTATTCAGGTCAGGAAACAGGAAGCTCTATTGAATCCTTTGACATTGGAGTAAATTATCTCAAGCCTATGGCAACCCCCAATCAATACCTCTCTCTGAATTAATGACATGATTCATTTCAGAGAACCAAAAATCAATCCCTAGTCAGCATCAATACATGGAACAGGTCATACAATGCCTTGCTGTGGTTTTCATCTTCTGCTGCAGTGTATCATTATTATCTTACAGTGACCTTTTCCCCTGAAGGGACAGCTAGGATCACCTCACATTCTAATATTGCTGAGCAGTCAGCACAAGTTGTTTACAGGCTTGTAACGATAGAAAGTGTGCTATAACAAAACTGTAAATTTAGATACAAGCATTATTTCTTCAGCATTCCTGTTCTTTTGCCAAAGAATAAATGATTTACTTTACATACCATTCTTAGCATATTTTGAAATTGAGAAGCATATCCCCCATTGTCTGGAGTTTGAAGCTTGTTGATGTTGACAAAGCTCTAAAGTTCTTTGATGGAACATTTTTGGAGAAAAGTTTATATGTCCAAATTTCTAATCTTGTACGTAAAAGCTGAGCATTTCTGTAAGAGAGGACTTTTTCAAGTTTTTTGTCTGAACATACTTCTGATTCTCGTTTGTCTGGGCAGACTTTGTAGCTCTTGTTAATTAACTTGGCAGAAAGTTGTATGTTACCAAATTTTCAAGCTTTTTTCATGGAAATGCATTTTGTTTGTATGGACAGACTATTGAAGCTTGTTTGTTTATAGTCAACTTAAGATTGTCTACACACTCTACTGAAACTTGTTTGTCTAGCCAGACTTTTGTAGCTTGTTTGTCTAGACACTCCAGTACAGCTTGTTTGTTCTGAGTCAATTAAAGATTGTTTGCTTAGACACTCTATTAAAACCTGTTCACGTTTATAGTCAAATAAAGCTTGTTTGTGTAGAGATAGTCTACTGAAGCTTGTTTGTCTAGCCATATTTTTGCACTTATTTGTTTATACTTATAATCAATTAAAATGTTATTTAGACATTTTACTGAAGTTGGGAAAACTTGTTAACAAAGCCTATTTAAGTTAGTTTCTATGCACTGACTTGTTGGAAGCTTGTTTGTCTACACAGTTTATTCGAAATAGTTTCTATTGGCAGACACAAGGAAACTTGTTTGTCTGGGCAGACCATTTTAAGATGGATTGTTACAGCAGACAGTTGAAGTTTTTTGTTTCATCAGATTTTTAAGTTGCTTGATTGAGCTGAAAATTTAAGCTTCCTTGAAACTTATTTGTTTGATAAGCTTAAATACAATGCAGGACAATGGAAGCTTCTTTGTCCATATCACAAAGCTTGCCTGTTGGGCAGACTTGTAAGGAAGTATTTGAAGCTTCCAATTAATGAACAAAAATGTCCCTATAACTGGGTTTGAGGGATTTCAGTGACTATAATGCTGGTTTTGAGGGATTTTGGTGACTACAAAGCTGGTTTAAAGGTTTCTAAATAAATGACACTTACCCCCATCATCTATCAGTTTCATCTGTATAAGGGCTGGGTCCTCATTGTGTTCCTCTAGGACTGTATCATCAGTCAAAGACAGACTCTGTAAACACAGAAATAACAACATTAGATGTCTATATAAACACTGTATCATCAGTCAAAGACAGACTCTGTAAACATAGAAATAGGAGCATTAGATGTCTATACAAAAATATAACTCCTCTAGGACTGTATCATCAGTCAAAGACAGACTCTGTAAACATAGAAATAACAACATTAGATGTCTATACAAAAATATAATTCCTCTAGGACTGTATCATCAGTCAAAGACAGACTCTGTAAACATAGAAATAACAACATTAGATGTCTATACAAAAATATAACTCCTCTAGCAGGGTATCATCAGTCAAAATGACAGACTTGTTTTTAAACATAGAAATAACAACATTTTTAGATGTCTTTACAAAGTGTTGTATCATATTTTTCTGGTAATTCGTCTTGCTTTTATGAAATTTAAAATCAGTCACAAGACAGACTCTGTAAACATAGAATTTATACAAAAAGTTTCATTGTAGTTTTATTTGACATATAAAATTTACCTTAGATAAAAAGAGTAATCATTATTTTTACACCAAATAATTTCTCCCATAACTTTTTAAACTGAAATAGACAGCCATGTAATGATGTTAGGTGCAAAATATCACACCTTGTTAATTATGTTTGGGATGTTTGACCCCATTATTCAGTAGCAAATACAACCTAAACCCTTGATCATATTGATTTTCTTTTTTGAATGTTACAGGAATTACAAAAATATAACTTTTTTAGGACAGATTATCATTTTTTTTAATGTAATAACACTGATGTTCTCTGTAAACATAGAAATAGGAGCATTAGATGTTTACACAAACATATAACTCCTTTTTTAGGACTGTATCATTTTAGTCAAAGATTTTAGACTCTGTAAACATAGAAATAACAACTTTAGATGTCTATAAAGCCACTGTATCATCAGTCAAAGACAGACTCTGTAAACATAGAAATAACAACATTAGATGTCTATACAAAAATATAACTCCTCTAGGAATGTATCATCAGTCAAAGACAGACTCTGTAAACATAGAAATAACAACATTAGATGTCTATACAAAAATATAACCAATGTATCATCAGTCAAAGACAGACTCTGTAAACATAGAAATAGGAGCATTAGATGTCTATACAAACATATAACTCCTCTAGGACTGTATCATCAGTCAAAGACAGACTCTGTAAACATAGAAATAACAACATTAGATGTCTATACAAAAATATAACTCCTCTAGGAATGTATCATCAGTTTAACACAGACTCTGTAAGAATCAAAAACTGTAGGAACATTTTTTTTATCAGTAGCTTGCATTTTTTTAGCCAATTTTTTAAAAAATAAAATTATGTCATAATTTTTCGGATTTGAATGTTTTTGATTGATTTGATCCTTTGCTTTAATAATCTGTTTCTCTGTAAGTGCCTTGTACATCTGTTTAATTTATGTAAGCTGTGCCTTATAAAACAAAAAACAAGTTATATAAAATTATTCTGATCAAATTCCAACCCACACAAGAGTTCTTTTGACAACAATCATCTGTGATGATGTAAATAGACCTAGGATTTGTTAACAGATGTGAACCGACCTGAGAACTGTATGGGCTTTTTACTGCTGGTTCAGACACCAGCTTAACCTTACTGGTGCAGATGTTAATCTCATTCATTGGTGGCTGATAAAATACACACGGCTAGGTACAGATGCTGATCATGTAAAGCTTCCCAACTTTAAGCTGGGGCACAGACACTTTGATCATGTAGTTTCCCCACACATTAATTCCCCCCACTTAGCTAGGCACAGACACTGGTCAACTGTAGTTTTCCTACACAGACCCTTGTCATGTAAAGTTTCCTAACTTAGTTAGGGAACATTTTTTTTGTAGTTTTCCACACATTAATTCCCCCCCCCCCTTATTTTAGCTAGGGCACAGACCCTCGTCATGTAAAGTTTCCCTCTCCTAACATGGCACTGCCTCCCAACGACCCCAACCCTAACCCAGGATCATTATTTTTTCATATTTAGATGAATTACTCTATCTTTTTTCAAATAAAGTAGAAATTATGCCTTGGCAAAATCCAGGGGTTAATACAGTGTGTTTTGTGAATTTACAAGATTATAATTTATTTATGAATGTATATGTAATCATCCATTGTTTCTGGGGTGAAAACATTATAGGTCAAGAGTTAAACCCTCTTATAATCAAACACTGCCCCTTATGACCTGATCCTGGAGATCTGATGTTCCCCATATCCTTGGAAACCCCATTACCTATAGGGAAATACAAACTGTAAAGACAGCAGATGTACAAGTGGTGAGGAGACATTTATAGCTACTCTCTCGTGACCCCTGCATAACATTATCTGGCTGAGCGACCTTCACATTGTAAACCTACGCTGCTATCATTACTTTTTTGTCAGGCTTCCAAGAAAACAAATATTTTTGCTGCGCTGAGTGGGAATGCGATGGATAAGTAAACAGTGATATAGAAATCAATAGGGCCACAGCTAACAAAGTACATTCATCAGGCAATTAACCGGGGAAGCACCAAACTCTGCCGGAGCTGTCTAGATCAACAGCGTTCAGATTGCTGACGATTTTTAATTTTATTGCTGAGTGGATCAATGGTGGAATGGCTGGCTTTCTCGGTGACCATCGACTCCTCATCCCACTGACAAGGAATATACCAGACCACTCATTAAAAGCCTGCAGTCAGATTTATGTTGTAATAAATGTCTGTCCTCATTAAAAGTCAATCCCCAACCAGCAGGCCTCCATAATGAACCAGTCCGCCATCAGACCACATTATATACAGTATTAGTTCTCTATTATGTACATTAAAGTACAGGATTTCAATGAAGCTTCACAAATTAATGTTACACAAGTCCTGCTTTAGAAAATGCGCAGAACATCCATTATCAATTGTTAATGAGGTCAAAGAACTAGAGATGTGATAATAATGCACTAAAACTTAGAGCCCTGGGATGTGTTTATTAAATCGTAATGTTTGAAGGAATTCTCTCTCATTAGGAGAAAACATCACCTCGACTGCCTAGACATTAGGTTACCATGGAAACATCTTAACAGGTGGATTCCAAGGAATAACAATTTTAGCCCAAAAAAGAAAAAGTTAAATCTGAGAGGAAACGTGCTTACACACACACACAAATAACTGAACAAAAGACACGACAATATACGATAATGAATGTAACATTTAACAATGCTAGGTAAATCCTATAGAACTGAAGTATTTGTAAACAGCAGGTGTTTTGTCAGATAACAAACTAAATATTCATAAATCAAGTGATCTTCTCCAATGGCTGAAGGCTTTGTTACATGTGTGATGAATCTATTTATAGAATCATCAACTCTCCCTACACGACTTAACTTCTTGTGTTTCTATACAACCTTTCATTGTTTGTATAAATCACTGATGTTATTAGATCAAGAGCATTTTAAATATCTACTTCCTCCTATTAATTGACGTCTCTTGTAGTATGTGACTGATAAATGCTGTCTCTGTATATAAATCAGTGACCCTTAGAAATGGGTAGTTTCTGTCAAGTGCTGTGCTTGGGTCAAGTTTAGTATTTAATGACAACTATAATGACTGTATGGTTGCTAACAAGTGTTTTCCCCATGCTTGGGTCATGCTTAGTGTTTTTTCTGTGCTTGGGTCATTCTTAGTGTTTCTCTGTGCTTGTGTCATACTTGTTTCTCTGTTTCTCTGTGTTTGGATTATTCTTAGTGTTTCTCTGTGATTGGGTCATTCTTAGTGATTTCTCTGTTCTTGGGTTATGTTTAGTGTTTTCTCTGTGCTTGGGTCATGCTTAGTGTTTTCTCTGTACTTGGGTGATGTTTAGTGTTTTCTCTGTGCTTGGGTCATGCTTAGTGTTTTCTCTGTGCTTGGGTCATTCTTAGTGTTTCTCTGTGCTTGGGCCATTCTTAGTGTTTTCCCTGTGCTTGGGTCATTCTTAGTGATTTGTCTGTGCTTGGGTTATGTTTAGTGTTTTCTCTGTTCTTTGGTTCATGCTAAGTGTTTTCCCTGTGCTTGGGTCATTCTTAGTGTATCTCTGTGCTTGGGTCATTCTTAGTGTTTCTCTGTGCCTGTGTCATTTTTAGTGTTTCTCTGTGCCTGGGTCATTCTTCATGTTTCTCCATGCTTGGTTCATTGTTAGTGTTTTCCCTGTGCTGCTTATGTCAAGCTTAGTGTTTTCCCTATGCTTGGGTCATTCTTAGTGTTTTCTCTGTGCTTGGGTCATTCTAAGTGTTTTCCCTGTGCTTGAGTCATGCTGAGTGTTTACTCTGTGCTTGGTTAATGCTTAGTGTTTTTTCTGTGTTTGGGTCAAGCTTAGTGTTTCTCTGTGCTTGTGTCAAGCTTAGTGTTTCGTGACAAATATAATGATAATATGGTTTCTGTGATTGTGGGTCATGAAATAATGTTTTTCAGTGTTGGCTACACGTCAAATTGAGTGCATCAATCGACAAAAATTCTGCTTAAAATAAAAGAAGAAATTCAATTGTAGTAAAATTCTACAGAGATTTGTTCATAAACCTCAGCCCCTACAAGTGATCTAGCCCTTGACTTTGAAACAATGGGAAAATATGGGTTTTTCAACTGATAGTACAATTGTATAGTCTCTGTAATTGTGCATCATGTTTTGTTATTTTGGTGACTATTATCTGTGTATTCTGTGTGAAAAAGGGTCCTATCTATCACTTCATTGTTTGGTAACACAGCTCTACAGGGCTTCTATAATAACTATCTGTGTGGGTCGCCCAGGGGAACTGTTCTCTACTCTCTCTGGAGGAATCTTTCAGGAGGAACAATTCAAGCTGAGATTTTAATGGACCACTCTCTGGTAAAGGATAATATTGATTGTCTCTGTAGGGCTGTATCACACACCAGGCCATTATATCAGAGACAATCACTTCTGGTAATGGACAGCGGATAATTACACTCACCGATTCTCTTGTATAATGTGCATTATTTATCAGAAGTTATGCAGTAAGGTTATAAACATTACAATAAGTGATGACTATACTGACTGTCAAGTGATCCATTTCCAGCTAAGGTTGGATAATGTTAAGGATAAAACCATACCATAACAGAGCAATATTATTAAAATGATACCTCAAGTTATTGATACATTAGAAGGGACACAGAAATTGTGGTCTCAGAATGCAATACAGCTGAAGTCCTTGTATCTCCTGTTTTAATTTTAACTTTGTATGAGAATTATTAAATTTCAAGTACAGTAAAATATGTTTATATCAGGAAGGACTAATTTTTATTTGTTAAAAACAGAATTCGTCAAAGTCATTAAACTAACGATATGATATAACACCACAGGGAATAAAATCACTTTGCCATAAAGTGAAAATTCATTATATGGGCATTGGATGTAATAGTGTTATACTGTTATTATAATCCAATAAATACTGCACATTTCAACTTAACCTCAGCCTTTACCATGACAGTTGCTGGCAAAAAAGTTGCATAAATTGAAATTTGTTCTTCTCAACTAATCATAAAAGGGTCTAAATATATATTTTTGCATCAGTATCAATGTGCTTTCTGCTACCATTTGCTGTTAGTGGAGGTCTAGATGTATCTGTGTTAAGTGTCTGTAATAAGATACATGTGCTTTGTATGTGGGTGTCTTTAGTCTGGTTTTTGTTGGTATGTATGTGTTTATTGTTTGTACCTTGGTGGTGTGGTTGTATCAGTGTTTTAGTGTGTGGGTATCTTTAGTCTGGTTTTGTTGATATGTATGTGTTTATTGTCTGTACCTTGGTGGTGTGGTTGTATCAGTGTTTCAGTGTGTGGGTGTCTTTAGTCTGGTTTTGTTGATATGTACGTGTTGTTTGTACCTTGGTGGTGTGGTTGTATCAGTGTTTCAGTGTGTGGGTGTCTTTAGTCTGGTTTTGTTGATATGTACGTGTTGTTTGTACCTTGGTGGTGTGGTTGTATCAGTGTTTTAGTGTTTAGGTGTCTTTAGTCTGGTTTTGTTGATATGTACGTGTTGTTTGTACCTTGGTGGTGTGGTTGTATCAGTGTTTCAGTGTTTAGGTGTCTTTAGTCTGGTTTTGTTGATATACGTACGTGTTTATTGTCTGTACCTTGGTGGGGTGGTTGTATCAGTGTTTCAGTGTGTGGGTGTCTTTAGTCTAATTTTGTTGATATGTATGTGTTTATTGTCTGTACCTTGGTGGTGTGGTTGTACAGCTCTGTGTTTCAGTGTGTGGGTGTCTTTAGATATGTATGTTTATTGTTTGTACCTTGGTGGTGTTGTATCAGTCAGTGTTTGAGTGTCTTTAGTCTGGTTTTGTTGTTATGTATATGTATGTTTGATTGTCTATACCTTGGTAGTGTGGTTGTAGGACTGGATCACAGCTGTGTACCACTGGGTAGTTCCTTCCGCTCGATACACCTCCAGGCGGTACCCAACCAGCACCGTGGGGGTCGTCAACAAGATCCTCTGTCCATCCTGGTAATCCAGCCAGTTCTTGACCGCCTGATTGAGACTGGGGTAGGCTTCAAACACTGGGTTACTCAGTAGCTCTGCCTCCTATAATATTGAGATATAATTAACGCTAGTGAACAAAGATTGTGTGATTCTCTGTGCTCAAAGTCGGTTACAGAAATGGTAAAGCTTTTAGATTCTCACAATAAATCTACAGGAAATCAAAACAGGGCAGAGTTGTAAAGTCCCTTTATATTACATAATTCTAGCTAGGATGTAAATTAGTGTCTTAATGAGCTGACAATTAACAGAACACTGTCTGTCCTTCACATGACCTCGGCTGTCTCCTACCTCCTAAGTGCGGACCAAAAAAAAGAAATGGAATCCTAGACAGAATGTGTTTTTTGGAGTTATTGGGTTTATTGGATGGAATCATGCACATAATGTGTTATTTGGAGTTATTCTTTTTGGTGTTATTTTCTCCCTGTTATTCCCTCTGAGGGACCCCTTGTTATACGTAGCTACATGCAGCTTTTGAGATGTGACCTGGATAAATAATGACTGAGACATGACAGTTCCTCTGTCAAACCATTAGCTCTCAGTATTGATTAAGTCCTCCTGTAAATTTTCACTAGGTTAGTGTCTGTGGTATCTGGTTATATAACATTCAATCCTGCCACAAACCGAGCCACTCCACTCAGGTCTGTTTACCTTAAGGGCTGATTAAACTTTCTGGAGGAACATTTCTACATTCATCAGGTGTACAGGTTTAAAACATGCGAACTGCGGCCACCTATAAGTCCTCCATTATACATTTCTTATCACCGGCAATCTTTTTTTCCTAAAAGCCCAAACATTTATGTTGCCTGTGGGCTTTAATCAGAAAAATAAGGTCTTATGAACCCTTAGCTTTTCAACCTTGATTGCCGTCCAAAACAGCATAGGGTTTATTAAGTAGACAAGACATGGACATAATGCTGAACAAAAGGTTCCCCCGATAATCACACAGTATACAGAAACCAAACACCTAGCGCTGCTTCACCTGACTTCCCCTACATAATACGACAAAACGGTGAACACCTATATTATTCCTCCTAAACCAGACCTGGACTACTCAGGTGTAAATAGAGCTCCCCAGAGAAAAATCTAACATAAATTTGATTTCTAATTTTAGCACAACAATAACCACTAGAGTTTAAACCAAAATTACCTCAGAAAAAGAAGCCCTTATTGCCTGCTTACTGCAGAATCAAGAAACTCTTAAAAGTGGCATAATCATGGCAACTATTAACTAAAGAGTTTTTCCAAAAGGTAGAGAAATATTATGTCTCTCTGTGGACTAAGAGATGACTCCAGTTTTATTTGACAAATGGTCCCCCCTCCCTTTAACCTTCTAATGACTGTGTATAGCCCCCCTCCCTCCCCCTAAACTTCTAATGACTGTGTACAGTCAGGATTACTTCATACAGCACTTATCAGGTTCTGATGCAAGAAAAGTGGGGCTCTTTGACCTTGATTTATTAATATAAATCTCCCCCAGTCTGAGCAGTAAATAATAGGTTGTGTGTGTGAATTGTAAGTTTGTTTACATATCTAGATAGCAATGTTCTCCGGGGAGTATGTCGCTATCACAATGTCCTCATTTTTCGCACTCTGTTGTGTTTGTCCAATGGTTGTTTAATATAAAAGGTTTTTATTTAGACTGCGCGATCATAAACTCTCTATATCGGATCCACTGGAGAGGAATGTACCTATCTCTGAGTGCTCAACTAAAGATAAACAGGTCAATTGTCTACCATCATGTGACCTCTCTCTTTACAGATCACACGACCTCGTGGTATTGATGCTTACACACCATAACAAGCACAATTTATCCCACTTCACTTTTAATTCATACCAGAAACTAGAGGTACTGTGAGCAATGAGCTCACTAAATGATACCCCCCGCCTCCCATATGAATATAATGGCAGTGTCCATGTTTTGCTCTGGAAAATCAAAAATATACATCAGATCAAAAAGTAAAATAGGAGGTGCACAATGGCAATATGTAATTAATAATCTGTGAAAGTTTCATTAAATTTCCTTCAGTGGTATGAAAGGAGTTGCGGATAAGAGATGGGTACCCCAAAGCGTAACAGACAGATGGACGGACGGACAGACAGACGGAAATACAGATTACTATATACCCTCCCACTTTTCAAGCGGGGGGTATAATAACATATTCTCAACATTATCACAGACATATTAAAGGAAATAATAACAAAATACTCTACAGATGATTCCAATTATCCATAAAAAATACAAAGCAAGTGCTATCCTACACACAAATCCAATTTATCCACAAAGGATACAAATTTTACAGAAATACTATCCTGTTACTATCCCAATATCCTAATGGGAGCTATAGCTCTGGAGATCCTAACACCTTGAGACAAAATGGACAGACACTATTCTCTTCACTTTATTAATTAGAAGTGTATAGGGGTTTATTCTTCAGACAAATTAACTATCTACACAAATTAACTATCTACACAGAGGGGATAATCTTCTTCCTGGGGATAGTTTACTTCAGACTTCACCAACCGAGGACAGAACTCTGGTGAATTCCTTTGATGTCAATGCGCTGTAGTACATGAGATTAGTTTATTGTCAGACTACATTATAGTACATACCTGGAAACCGTGCAGGTTTTTATCCTCTACAAAGGCCAAAAGCTGATCATCAAAAAACTCAATTGGTCGCTTTCTACAGCTGCTCAGCCCTACTTTATCAACAATGGATCGGAAATTCTAGGAAAAAAACCAAGATAACATTTAAATGACAGTGATTGAATATTTTGTACAAATCAGTTTTTCATATAAAAACAGTTGATGTTAGATAGGAATATGATGACTCTGAATTTTCTCTGTGTTAATTATTCACAATCTGATAGCATTGCTTAAGGCATGACCGATTTATTCTGTGCATATAAACCCCAATCTTTAAACAGTACACAATTTATCAAACCACAGACAGTTTGGGAGATAAGGTCACCATAATGCATATGGCAGTACCATAGAACTATACCAAATACTGTATACAGGGAAATATCTGCCCCCGTTTTATTTTTGCCCCTTTCCCCATAACCTGGGTTGGGTGAATTTAAAAAGGGGCAAAAATGTTTGCAAGTGTGAAAGGGCAAAAATAAAAGAAGCGCAAATAACCCTGCACATACAGTACACACATATGTTGGTCAGGTCTTGGTATTATACTAAATTAAAATTATAGGTTAGTCACACCTCAGTACAATAAATACATGTTGGTCAGGTTTCAAGGTCAGTGAAAACAATACTTTCACACAGCTATCTCAGAGTTCCCGAAACTAGTCAAAAATATGTCGGACAATTGTCCTGTAAATTTTTAAAATTCGCCGGACAAATGTAAAATTTACCGGACATTAATTTTTTAGATAAAATAAAATTAAAAAAAAATTCTTTAATTTATTCCTTTTCTCTCTCTCTCTATTTCCCATTCAGTTTGTCTTACCGGTTTGTCTTTCCAGTTTGCCACTCTAGTCCATGATCAGGAAGACCTTAGGACAGCTAAATGAAAAGTTGGCAAATACGTTTTTTTTTTTACTTAATTTATAAAAAATATTTTCCATTAGGCGTATGTATCTGGGGTTTGACGTCGCTGACGGTGTATGATGACCAGGGCTTCATCGTATAAAAATTATGTCCTTTCTGACATATTTTATTTTTAAAATAAAATCTGCAACATGACGTCTTTTGGTTGATTGTTTTACTTAAGAATGTATTGACAGAAATATGTACTAATAATATAAAAATATGCAAATTAATCATAAAAATGATGATTTTAAGTGCAGTTTTGTTTTTGTCGTTTTATTACATGAAGTCAGCCAGTCCGCTATTTTTAGAAACGGGGAAAAACGCGCTTGTATTAAATGCTAACAAATGCATGGAAAAAAAATCCAAAAATTAGTCTAACATTTATAATTCTAATACTGTGGTTTCATCAATTTTCGTTGGCATCAATTTTCGTGGATTTTGTAAAATAGACATTTTCGAGGATACGTAATTTCGTGGACAAAAGCATTACCTACACAAATGTATGTTACATTTCGTAATTCAATGAGCATTTGAATTCGTGGATCTGCTCAACAACGAAATCCACGAAAATTGGTGCTCAACAAATATTGATGAAACCACAGTAGATTAATTTACAGAGAAAATAAAAATGGTAAGAAATTGTCTATAATCAAGCAGAAATAGCTGGCAACTTGGCTTGATCTTAACCATGTTAACCCTGCAAAGTTCGTCCTGCAAAACGAAAGTAAATTGCCACATTTTTTACTGCCAGAACTACAGAGTGTATATTAAGATGGAAAATTATTTGTTTGACAGGGTTTTTTTCCAGACTTATGGAGAATATTATTTTATTATGTAGCCTTTTATAGTAGACATACACCGTCTACATTTAAACAAGAATGCACAAGAATAATCTGGCGCACCACTGACGTTTTTTAAAAATTCCTTTGGCTTTGCACGCTGATTGAATATTGAATTAAATGATTTTGTTAAGATTATGTGTCATTGTTATACAGTCTGTAAAAAAACCGTCGGACATTTTGACCGATAAAATTAAAATTTTACCGGTCCCATTCAAAATTTACCGGGGATCCCCGGTGGACCGATGCGTTTCGGGAACTCTGCTATCTATTAAGTCTCCCCCATCCCTACAGTGTGCTGTAATTAAGTATTGATTTTTTTCCGGGTTCCTAAGCAACACATCATGTCTGCATGTGAACAAGTATATAAATAAATAGCACAAAGTCACCGTACATTAACATGCGCCTCGCATCTGACGATGTCTTGTCAGCTAATATTCTGCCGGCATAAATCATTTTGGACATAATGAAAGTATACTGATGTGATAATTTATTAAAATTCATTAATGCAGCTCTCCATGACATTCTTTGTTGAGAAAAAAAATCTCCAGCCAATTCATGTTCAAATTCTGCTGCTTGTAGGGGCAGATTTACATTAACACATTCCCTTCTTATCAAAGATGTTTACCGTAAATATTATAGCTGTTCACCGAAACCTAGAATAATGCCAGTGTATTTTAAACTCACTGGCACAAAGGTATAGAAAATGTTTAATCAGGCAAAATTTCAAGGCATTTTCAAACCCCTCTACAAACAGGCTTTTAAGGCGCTCTTTTGATGGACTAGATTTACAATAATTTAAATCTCTGGTTAAGTTAAAGGTAAACTTGCAGGACTTTTATCAATATTCTATATGAAAAGTATTAATACATTGTGTTGGTTATCCAATTATATGTATGCAGGATTTTAAAGATTGCATTAACATTTGAATTCAGTTTGAATGTGTCCCTAAGGTAGAAGAAATCAATTGAAACCCCTGGCAGTCCCAGTCAATACAGAGTTCTGGCTTCTCTTCATAAATCAGGATAATGACAATGTTTAGTACATAAACCAAATAATGATTACATAAATAAATAAAAAACGCCAGGGCACTGGCCAAGTTCTTTTCATATCACTAAGTTAATAACAGAGGAGGATCCAGGATTTTACAGTTACTGAGTTACAATGGGTGCCTGACTAGGCAGTTACAGAGGAAGCTACTAGAACATTTACGATGGGGGTCCACTAGGCAGTTACATTGTGTGCCTCTAGGCATTTATGATGGGGGCCCACCAGGCACTAAGGGGTCTGAGTACAAGGCGGTTCTTACAAGGTAAATGACAGTGTCAGGTGGTGTCCCGGAGCTTCCCCCAATAGGCCTCTACAGAATCAGCAATTGTCAACCTTATGTTGACACAGATTTAACTTAATTACTCCATGGATGACATCCATAACTATAACTTAATGATACATCATAAACGTATTAAAATCTACCCGAGATATTAGTTCCTTTTTTATTCAGTATACCTACCAGCGCTGGCCATTCAACTGAAGTTGTCTTGCTTTCAGGGTCCAATCTCTCACTCCAAACAACTGTCTGCTCCACAAGAAATACTTGGAACACGGAGTGAATTTTGATCCATTCTCTCTGCTGCCAATCAGATTCATCAAACTCCACCAGGACCTGTAGGGGAAAAAACAGCACTGAAATTAATCTGGACCTACGGATAAAGTATCATCAAATTCGATAAAAGACCTTTAGGAAAAAACAGCATTGAAATCAATCTGGACCTACAGATAAAACATCATCAAATTGAATCAGAACCTACTGTAAAAGGCTGGGAAATTGTATACAAACTTATTAGAGTTCTAGCTAAATAATGACATGGTCTTTGATTATCAATGAAAGAAAAATTTCACTGCCTAATCAGTTTTTATTTGAAAACAATTTGATTAATTATTAACAGATTTTTTCTTCAGAAAACCATTAATGTTTTGATGGATGTTTTTCAAAGAACCACATGCAGGCAAAAAGAAGAGAAAATCTCTGAGACCCAATACCTGACACATGTGGAAGCAGTAAATCTAGATTACCCAGGGCCACAAGGTAAAAAGAGTTTTAACTGGAAGCATGTGTATATGTTTATAATTACTCTTCCTCAGGGGAAGCTCTTTATAAAAAATAAAGCACCAGAAAATAGCAGCACTATCAATAACCTGCCTCCCGAGAGCGTGGGAAAATAAACCCCAGCCATGTTCATCACACAACAAGACAGTTCAAGGAAAGGGAAACAACCTTTACTCCTCCTACTGCAGCAAATATTTCCTGAGTATGAGTAGTCTTTCCTGTCCTTTACATTTGTAGTGCAACAATACTTTTTACTCTAATATCAAAAGAAATTATTATTTCTGGAAGTAAGAATTTCAAAGAAAAGATAAGTTTACACTCATTACTTATTAAACAAGTGCCAAATGTTCCTGAAGAGCTCTGAGTCTGTCAAAAATAACAATTTTTTTTAAAATTTGAATTAGTGTAGACATACTTTTTCCAGGTGATTATAATTTAAACTATGTGCACAGTTAGATTTTCAAGCTCAATGTCACAAGGTACTGAATATGCATTTTAAAAGACATACAATGTCAATCCAAGATATCTGACTTATTCTACCCACAGTTTGAACATAGATGTAAGTCTGTGGAATATTTTTATGACCCTGTGGTAAAGATTATGTAGCCAGTTTGTCAGACATTGTTATCCTCACTCTGTTTCGTCTTGAGTATCGACAATGACTCTGCATTACAATACGTATATATCACTAACTGACATACAATTACATGTGTATCAAGATACAACAATAGGTACAATTTAATTTAATCCATTTTGTTTTGCAGAATATTATCAGAGGCCACCAAATAATGTATCAGTGCATAAACTTACACAAACAAAAAATTCTGGAATACTTTCTTTCAGTTAAAAACAATTTTTGAGAAAAGTAAAGTCACAGTCAAATGAAAAGTTCAAGAAACTTATAAACAAAGAGGTCTGGGTACTTGTAAACAAAGAGGCCTGGGTATACTTGTAAACAAAGAGGCCTAGGTTTACTTGTAAACAAAGAGGCCTGGGTATTTGTAAACAAAGAGGCCTGGGTACTTATAAACAAAGAGGCCTGGGTATACTTGTAAACAAAGAGGCCCGGCCACTTGTGAACAAAGAGCCCTGGGTATACTTGTAAACAAAGAGCCCTGGGTATACTCGTAAACAAAGAGTCCTGGGTATACTCGTAAACAAAGAGTCCTGGGTATACTCGTAAACAAAGAGTCCTGGGTATACTTGTAAACAAAGAGGCCTGGGTATACTTGTAAACAAAGAGGCCTGGGTACTTGTAAACAAAGAGACCTGGGTACTTGTAAACAAAGAGGCCAGGATACTTGTAAACAAAGATCCCTGGGTACTTGTAAATAAAGAGGCCTGGTTACTTGTAAACAAAGAGGCCTGGGTATACTTGTAAACAAAGAGGTCTGGGTACTTGTAAACAAAGAGACCTGGGTACTTGTAAACAAAGAGACCTGGGTACTTGTAAACAAAGCTAAGAGGCCTGGGTATACTTGTAAACAAAGAGGCCTGGGTATACTCGTAAACAAAGAGGACTGGGTACTTTTAAACAAAGAGGTCTGGGTACTTGTAAACAAAGAGGCCTGGGTGCTTGTAAACAAAGCTAATAGGCCTGGGTATACTTGTAAACAAAGCTAAACAAAGAGGTTTGGTTACTTGTAAACAAAGAGGCCTAAGTTTACTTAAAAACAAAGATCCCTGGGTACTTGTAAACAAGGAGACCTAGGTATTTGTAAACAAAGAGGCTTGGGTATAGTTGTAAACAAAGAAGCCTGGGTATTTGTATCCAAAGAGGCCTGGGTATACTTGTAAACAAAGAGACCTGGGTATTTGTAAACAAAGAGGCCTGTGTATTTGTTGACAAAGAGTCCTGGGTACTTGTAAACAAAGAGGTCTGAGTAATTGTAAAGAAAGCTAAGAGGCCTAGGTATACTTGTAAACAAAGAGGCCTGGGTACTTGTAAACAAAGAGGCCTGGGTACTTGTAAACAAAGAGGCCTGGGTATTTGTAAACAAAGAGGCCTGGGTATTTGTAAACAAAGAGGCCTAGGTATACTTGTAAACAAAGAGGTCTGGGTACTTGTAAACAAAGAGGCCTGGGTACAAATGTAAACAAAAAGGCCTGGGTACTTGTTAACAAAGAGGCCTGTGTATTTGTAAACAAAGAGGCCTGGGTACTTGTAAACAAAGAGGCCTGGGTACTTGTAAACAAAGAGGCCTGGGAACTTGAAACAAGGAGGCATGCATAAACATGATCAGAGATCAGCTGATGATCAGTATCATGGGGGTTTATTTTCCTGTACTCATGCTATTTGGGGGAATTCTTAAGTGTTCACCATATAGAATTAAAGATTTATAAAAATTAAAACACTTAGTGTAGTTACGTTAAACGAATGTCCAATAATCAACAAGCATCAGAAGCAAGTTTCTATGGTCAGAAGGAATTCAACCTTGCAAAATTTCTGTTTCCCTTGTTTAATACATATAACAATCTGCTCTTACTTTGTATAAGGCATAAATATCAATTAAATCTCTAATAATAATGAGCGAGCAAGCGAGCGAGAGAGAGAGAGAGAGAGAGAGAGAGAGAGAGAGAGAGAGCAGAATTCCTTCATGACAAATTTATGCCTCTAATAATATTAGTTTTAATGTTTTTAACATGTAAATCATAAGTAAATTTTCAAAGACCATGCAATTACCTTGTAATTCCTATTAACCGCCCCTACCCCTATAAGCACAGGGTTCGACATTCACGCTCGTCAACTCGTCATTTCCACCCAGAAATGATTTCGGACGACCTGATTTTCAGTCTGGCTCGCCCAAATGACGACCTGGGATAAGTCGGGAATATTTAATAATGTTGTTTAATATTTTAAAATAAACTTCATAAGGCCTTGAAAACATATTTTCCTGTAACCAAACCAACACATTCAACATGTTCAAATTGCAGCCGTGTAAATTTTTCTTCCTGCCAAATCTGTGTTCATCAATCAGCTGATGCAATTTTTACCAAAAGTCTTTAATAAAGCTTTATTTGAGATATAAAATATGTCAACTTAGTCAACAATCACCTGAAATATTAAGAGTAATAATCATCATTGCATTTCCCTATGCAACTTTCTGATCATCTGCTGCTAGACAGCCTTGCTGGGTGTCCACTGTAATATCATACCTGGTTAATTCAGTCCATGGATATTAAGGCCTTCATGGTAAGTGAAAATGAATGATTTAAACTGCAAACTTTAGCATTCTGCATACACATGTCCGATTCTGCTCATATTTTTGTTTGATAAAATACTGGAAGACATCTTGACATTCCAAAAATGTCTGGTTTACATTTTTTAATACCAAAACACAACTTCTGTTAATAATCTTAACAAATTTTAAACAATTGCATATGTTTCATTTGATATTTTATTTGGAAGACCTGAAATTCATTTGGGCAACCTGTGATCAGTACCAAGGTTGCCCAAATGGCGAGACCAAATTTTGGCGAGTGTCAGACCCTGTAAGCGCCCCCTAAGGTCTTTTTCAACTGTTAAAGGAAATAAGGGCCCCCTCTTCAGTAATTAAAATTATCTAGAATCCTACCAAAAGTCTGCCAAAATTTGAAGGATTTAGTGAAAATGAATCTTTTTATTATCTGATCTCTTGGTTTAACATAATTTGGGTGGATGTTCTTCATTTAAAGTAAAGTTAGACGTTAATTTAGAGATTCTTTAATTATTTTTTTTTTTCAAAATATTTTTTGAAGTTAAGATTTGATATTATATATTACAAAGAGAATACCAAAACAACCGCCCCCTTTTCGCAATTTTCTAAGCACCCGGAGCGGTTAATTAAGGGATTATAAGCTATTTGGTTAGACAAAATCATGTCACCATTTGTTCATTTTCACTCAGCATTAATGTACACAGCCAATTGCCAATATATTCAGCAATATTAATTCAATACCCTAATAGTATTTGCTTTCTCTGAGCATAATAAATTAGATGAAGCATGTTTTGTTTTGTACGTTTCTACAAGTGATGGTATGCAATGACCTTTGTTTTACGCATTTTGTGCTACCAAGTTTTGAGATGGTCCCTTAGAGGCTTGGCATATATCCAACTCCTCACTTTACATGACCTATTATACTTTACAGAACACTGAATACAAATATGTACACTGACAATTCACCACCAAATGAGTAGAGAACACACAGATCTAGTCGGATAGCTAAATCAACTTCATCAAAAGCTTGCTAGGTGTGGCCCATTTGTACTGCAGTAATGGGACAGATTGAGACTTCTAATACATCATTATAGAGTTAGACACATTTTCACAAATGATAAAACCACTTTGGATATTTTTTTTTTTTGGTCAATATTCAGTCTCTTTTTGGGAGCAAAGAACATAAATAAACAAAACACTACAGTTTATGTGTCAGCAATGGTCAGTGTTAATTAATTGATACTCAGGATACTTGAAACTTGGTTGAAGTAGGTACATCACATGTTGAAATCATTGTCTAAAGAGAAATCTTGGAATCTTAGTACTAATAATATGTTGTGTGAATATTTCTCCCTTATA